CCCCAAAACCCCAAAACCCCAAAACCCCAAAACCCCAAAACCCCGTTTATAATAAAATAAATTGAAAAGATTTTGGTTTCCACATTATTGGAAAATTCTAGTATTAGAATCCCAAAGTATGTATCAACCTTGAGCTAGGATTTTAACAAACTTACCACTTACAGAGATGAAAAGAATAAATTCATTAACAAGAGCTTTAGTTTTTAGAATATTATAAGGTCAAAATTAGATATAGCTTTGCAATCTGCTTAGCAGTTGAGAAGTGAGATAGACTTTCCTTTGGATATAAAGGAGTTTGGATCACCCTCGTCTTTCCTTAATGGTGAAATGAAGTCTCAATATATCTGTAGTTCATAATTTCCACTTCTCACTCTTTGCATTCTACAAAGAGATGGAGTCCTTATAGTTATTGACCTTATTGAGACTGGCTTTACTTACAAATCTACATTTACAAATTATATCCTATTCCTCTAAAGGAGCGCAAGGGATAAGATATCCGTTTATTAGATATATTTGAGGCATTCTGTTGTTCAGATAGCCCATAGGAACGAGTATGATCAGAGCTAGTCTCGTAAACAGGCTGTAAGAGTAACCTATTTCTCCTTTTCTCCTCATCAAAATCCCTAAACTTGCTACTTTGTTTAGCCAAGCTCTTTTTCTTCAATATAGTTTTGTTATTTGCAAACAAAGAATTCCAATAACGTGAGTTTGAAATTTTATCTTCTTTCTTCTTTGTAGACAGTTCTGTTCAATAAGAATGAGTTTTATGTTCTTTATTCTCTTTTTCAAGAAGACTCCCTCTTTTCTTGATCCTTTTGATAGCATACAAGTTCTCCTTTCCTGCTTCAGGCTTGTTGGGAAGTGTTTCTCCACTCTCAAGCATGCTAATGTTGACATGGTTGCATGTCTCAGAGTCATTAGGGCTCTTCGGAGGAAGTTTATTTGTAAAATAAAATTCGCTTAATCCACCAGAAGAGCTCTTTTCCTGTTCAATATGCTTATTCACACCGGGGTTCTTTCTCTCAAGAACTCTATTTGGTGAATTTTTGGAGCTCGCTAGAATAGACTTATGCAAGCTCTGATCCAGATGCCGTGTATCGAAGCTCTCCATCTCCTTTATCGGTGATAAAATTTGATCTAACAGCAGTTGAGGATTTTTCGATTTCAAATCATCAGGTAAATCCTTCTGCAATAAATCTAATTCCTTGATTATAGAAGAGCTTTCACAGAGTATACTCGATTCACTGCTTGTCAGGCCTGATTTATCCAACTCTTTTGATACATTCTTATCATTTTGGGGATTCACAGGAGATTCAGTTTCTTCTTTGTCCTTCTTTTTCATCTCAGTAATGACATTCTCAAGCATCTCTATTGAGAAATATTTTTCTTTATCAGTAATACTCTCAGGAGCAGTGTCTTGGCTGAGTCTAGACCGAGGTTTTGACCTTGAAGAAAGCCCAGCGTAAGGACTCCTAGATGAGGTTCCTCTTCTGGACCGTTCTCTGTGTGAATATTGAGAGTTTTGCTCAATACTTTGGTACATGCTATGCGGTTCTTGTTTTCTAGATCTATGAGTTATATATCCTTGATCTCTCTGCCCCATATCGCAATAATTATTAGAGTCATATTTTTCTCTCCTGCCAGCTGGTTTTTGCTCTTGTCAGAATGAACTAAAAGAACTAGGCTTCTCTAGTCTAATTTCTTTATACATTTTTGGTTTCTTCGAGAAATTAAAAGAGTTCTTTCTTTCATTTTTGCAGTAACTGCTAAAATTGCGATCATTCTTCCTCGATCTGAGGGGATAATGCTTTGTTGATCTCTCAGAGAAGGTATAATCGCTGTCTTTCTCTTCATTAAACAGCAAGCTATTTTTATCAAAGTTCTTTCTCTTCGGGTTGCGATAACTGTCTACTGAACAGTCATCATCTTCAATATATTCAGTGCCTTTTTCCTTTCTGTACCAGTTGCTCTGAAAAGACTTCTTGAGGGCAGAGGTTTTGGAAGTATATTCATCGACAATACTCATTATCCTACTCTTATTTAGCCTTCTTCTTCCTTGTGTCTTTGGTAGAAGTCCCAAATAAGTTCTTCTTAAGCTCTAAAACATCCTTTTGATCACCCAATGGCTGGTGATTATGGGAGTTCTTTTTAGAATGGCAGATTACACGTGACTTGTGCTTGTTCATCAAATATTCTGAGCCTTTCCCAAACTTTGATGTTGAAATATCTATGCAGAATAAGACTCATTTGACAAAAATGGAGTATAAAGATTAGAAGAATACCAAATCTCGCAAAAGTCATTGTGATTTCGAAAACTCATCAAAAATTAAGCATTTTATAACAGAAAATTACCTGAAGTTACTTGGATGCGGGTATTTGGATGAGGGCTGCTCGGAACAGAGAACATTTGGAACATCATGTCTCAGTTATTCAATACCTCATCCATATTCTTGCTTTCTTCATTAAAAAGTCTCGTTAAAGAATTCTTTTTGTGAGACTTTTTATAACCACGGGGAATCATTTTGTGTAATCGTTAATTATTTTCAGTTAAAATTTAATAAAATGGGGTTTTGGGGTTTTGGGGTTTTGGGGTTTTGGGGTTTTGGGG